GGGTTTGAACCGCCAGCCTTCTGGTTAGCAGTCAAGTGCCTTAGGCACTATGCTATATTGAAAAAAGTATTTTTTCTGCGCATATAAGAAAAGTAGAAATACTAAAACATACTGGTTACTTTTCACTAGTGAGATTAAGGGTTTTAAAATTTCTTTCTTTTCCAATTTTTCTGTCCTGATATAATTTGTAACTTTTTAAATAAAAAAAAAAAAAAAAATCCTACTTAGATCTACTAATTGCTGGATTGTACAGCATGTATATGTCAAGCTTTAGTAGATACTCAGATACTTTCCCCAAGTGGTTTTACTCCAGCCAGCAAGCCAGCAGTGTGGTTTCAACATGTGGAGAATGGTAACCATTCTAGCAAATGTGGTAGTCACATGTGCTTTACTGTACATTCCCCTGATGGGTATTAAAGTTGAGCGCCTTCTCTGGGCCTGTACTGGGTAGTAGAGTGCTTGTTTGTCCTGCCTACTTTTCAGTAGATTATCAGAAGAAAGTCTGTATAGCCGTTCAGTTCACATTATGTTATTCTGTGGGAGCTGCTCTCTGTTAGTAGGAATGCAAGTAGAAGAAATAAAGATGGAGACAAAGAAGGCGTCTCTCGCTGTTGTGGCTGCAACTTTGGGATAGTGTCCCTGCTGGCTCTGGGCTGCCTGTTCCATACCCAAATGTGAAGATGAACTTCTCTCAGCCCCTGTTTATCATCTACTCAGTGTCTTGAGTGCTGCCTTCCTTTACCTTAAATCTTTTTCAGCCACTGAATTTTGTTCCTAGAAAATTGATGCCTCATGTCTTACAAGGTGGTGCTCTTTGGGGTCACCAACTATCATGTAACACAGGCTCAGAATAAATTGCATGATGCCAGGTGAACTCAGTTGAGGAATAGACCCTACCTGGAAAATGGAGAACTTAGAGGGCCAGGGTTTGCAGGAGAAAAGATACCATCATCCTACGGAGAGGGGTGCTGGGTGGGGTCTGTTCACAGGGAGGGGGTCTCACCCACCCTTGAGTCTCCCTTCTTGCAGGGCAAGCATGAGAAGGTGCCATTGTTGGGGCAAGAGGGTAATGAGCTGGCTGCTTAGTGCCAGGCACTGTGGATTTGGATTTGCAGTCCTGATTACCCAGTTACTTGAGACCCCTGGGTCCTTGGGGAGTGGGACTCCCCCAGATGGGGAGCTGAGGTTAGACTCAACCCCTCTGCTGACTTGTCTGGAGTGAGCTCTTGGACAGCTCTGCTCTTTGCATTTGGGGCCATCATTTGCAGACTTCCCTGAAGAGAAGCTCAGCACTACAGCTACCTGTCTTCACTATCATGGAACAGTTTGTCTCACCTGTGTCGATTCTGGATATTTGAAATTCCATGAACAAGTTTTAAGATTGAGTTGAGATTCTCTTGTTAAAAGGGCAAATGATCTAGAAATTGAAATTCCTGTGCAGTATCAGTCATTGGCCATGGAAATTCCAGATGTGAATTTATTTTAGGCACTGAAAATGAGTGTGGCCCAATGTTTCTATACTTTCTTGTGAACAATGAGATTTCCTGTGTTTATAGGGGAAAATGTTTGTCTTCATAGAAGTCACGCTCACGTTTTATACTACATAGTTAAATAATTGTAGAATTAGAAAATAAATGTTAACAAATGAAAATGTGTGTCCCTATGGGACTCGGCTTGTCTGCAAGCTGAAAATGTTCGGCTTGATTGTTTTAAAAAGTTAATTCTATTTAGGGGAAGGTACTGTACAAATCTGTTTAATAAATCACCTTTGAATTTTTTTCTTGTGGAAATATTAGCAAGAAGGCTCCCTCTGTGCTCAACATTGCCTGAACAATCTCTTGCAAGGGGAGTATTTTAGCCCTGTGGAATTATCCTCCATTGCACATCAGCTGGATGAAGAAGAGAGGATGAGAATGGCGGAAGGAGGAGTGACTAGTGAAGACTACCGTACATTTTTACAGGTGCTGGTTTTAAACTCACTTGACTGCTTTTATTGTTTTCCCCCTTGAGATACTAAGTTGAATCCAGAAAACATGGCCCATTTTCTTTCTTCTTTTTTTCAAATATGAGTACAGTTTAGAGAGGAGTGAACCCATTTCCTTTAGAGATCTGACTTGGTAGTTATAATTCTGCTCTTGACCTTGTCACTGGGAATGCACGTGATGTTTGAGATACGCACACTAATGACAGTGCTTGTTCTTTTCCTCCTGCAACTACCTATCGAAATTAAGCAGCAGCCTTCTGGAAATATGGATGACAGTGGTTTTTTCTCCATCCAGGTAAGTAATCACAAGCATATACCAGGTAGTGTCTGTGTACCAGACACCGTCTAAGTCTATGCTCAGGGCGTCATTGATAATGGAGTATTTTTTCACGGCCTTCTGTAGTCACTGTAATGATACGACCTTTGGAGCTTCTTCCCATAGATGGTATCTGGAGGGCCTCAGATGAATAGAGATGGTATTCAGGAAAGACGTAGACCCTCCTTAGATAAACATGGAAATCAGGTCAGAAGAGTGTTCATTTAGTTGTTGTTAGCTGCCGTTGAGTCAGTTCCGACACATTTTAGAATGGGGCTTTTAAAAGTTACTTTTTGGTTATTTAATTTGCATCTGGATGCTAAAAACTTACTTCTGGTAAGGCATGAGGCTTCATGCTTACTCCCTTTTGGGTAAATTTGAGAAAATGCAACACCTTGCAACCTCCTGTTGAAATCTGCCTACCAGGACTGAACATCATGATGGTCTGTGGCTCTTGCATTTTTATGATCAGCATTTTTTTTTAGCATATGGCTCCCCTTGCATTCTTTGGGCATATATATGTGCTTGTGAGATTCTCAGATCATACCTGTTTGTCACTGTCTGTCTCTTACAAGGTGACCCATGAGGTGTATCCAGAGTTATTTCTGACCCTCTCTTGAGGGTCCTGTTTCTACAGATAGCTCTGCTTTGCCCTGTGATCCCTGCTGGACTCATCATTCACCACCATTTCCATCCAGTGCTTCCTTGTGCCCCTGTTCCAGGGACCGGCCACTGCCAGGCTGCATTGATCAGAGCAGGGAGCAGGCCCAGCACTTGCCATTTGCTGTTTGTGCCGCTCTTGGCACTGATTCATTCTGCCCACCACATGAGATTGACTTTTTTCTGTGCTAGTACGTGTTTCACGTGCTTCTTTCTTGGCTACCTTAGGAGGTAGATGGTGAATTTTCAGAGTTCTCCCTTGTTTCTCAGATTGAAATAATCAGGCTTGCTTTTTTCTTTCCCCCCTGTTAGCTACAAGCCCAGGATCATAAAAGTTTAAAATCTAGAAAACCTTCAGTGTAAATGGCTGAGAAGCACTCCTTTTTAACAGACATAATGTTACTGACATTGTAGGTGATTGAATTAAAGATAGCCTTTTTAAAGCAGCACCCAAAGCAGCCGAGTTGTCAGATATATGTTGGAGCCTGGTTTATAGAGTAGCACCTAACGATGGAGAGACTGTGCGTCTGGACTTGGGGGCAGGTTTACCTGGGAATTGTGTGCTTCTCTGAAATGTCTCAGAAAGCTAGTGTGAAAAGTTTTTTTTTAAGGCTACGTGTACAGGAGTCAGAATCAACTCAATGGTAGTGGGTTTGGGTTTTTGGTTTTATGTATGCTGTTAATGGGTTTAGTGATAAGCCTGTGCACATGTTGTAAAAAACCATAGCTTCCTGGGTGAAATTTATGTATAAAGTATAATTGTTAAGGCAACTCACTTGGCTGTACTAAAGTTTGGAATTGAATGGCTTAGCTCATGAAAAGTTACTATTTTTTAACAGGTTATAAGCAATGCCTTGAAAGTTTGGGGTTTAGAACTAATCCTGTTCAACAGTCCAGAGTATCAGAGGCTCAGGATCGATCCTATGTAAGACTTTATTTTGCTTTTCCTACATTTCTTTTCACACATTTGATTTTTTTAATTTCTTAAAGAAGAAAACTCTATTTTGAATTGTTATTTCCCAGTTGATTTCTTCAGACTGTCCTATTTCAGCTTTTTGGGGATGTCCGTGAACGTCTGCCCTCTGGACACTTTAGTGTCTGTGGCAGAACAGAATTGTTTCTTGAAGGGGATGGGATGCCATGATTTCAGCATGGCGTCACTGATCTGCATATAGATCGATAGCCTTTTAATTTACAAAGTCAGTGATGCTTAGTGGTGAACATACTCCTATTCTGTATGATATGATCATTGCTGGTAGATAAAGTAGACAGATATGGATGCTAATACTTCAACTTAACATTGTGTGTGTACTTTTTCTCTTTCTAGAAATGAAAGATCATTTATATGCAATTATAAAGAACACTGGTTTACAGTTAGAAAATTAGGAAAACAGGTAACATTTCTTCTTCTTTGTCCTTTTTCTCATTCTGCTCTCCATTTAAAACCGAAAAATACAAGGTGCCTTGAAGATGAGAAAACGCACCAGTATGTGTGGTTTCGATCTTGATTGAATTGTTTTCTTTTAAAAGACAGTATCAGATTTATTGGAGACAACCATATACCATTTAACTTTATCATAAGAGACACTGCAGATGTGGTAACTTTTTAGTGAGGTTTTATGTGGTGAATACATTTTGTCAATTAACTACTCAATTCATAGATTTGCAGCTATAGTCACAGTGTCTGGCATGTATAAAAAGTGCTTTTAGTGTAAACACATTTATTCACTTGATTCCAAAATGTCTTGTAGTACATCTATCAAAATAAAATCATATCTGTTAAAAAAAAAAAAAGAACAGGAAATGTGTCTTGAGCACAAGGTGCTTTGTTAGGTGTGGGGTTTGGAATCAGGTGGGCCGAATGATTCCATGTAGCCATTACCAAACATCATTGGACCTAAATATGCTTTGTCCCTTTTTTAAGCCAAGTTTAATGGTAGGTCACTCAAATACAGTAAAATAATTGAAATTTAATATTAGGCAAAAAGCCATTGACCAGTTTTTGAAACACTTACAATTTTATTTTTTTAAGACTTAGAATACTAAGCCCTGTTCAGTTTAGTTCTGACTAAACTGCTGTTCAGTCAGTTCTGACTCAAAGCAACCCTATAGGATAGAATGGAACTGCCCCATAGGGTTTCTAATACTGTGAGCTTTATAGAAGCACACTGCCACATCTTTCTCACACAGAGCAGTTGGTGGGCTTGAACCTCCAACCTTTCAATTAGCAACCAGTTGCAAACACTGCACCATCAGGGCTCCTTAATTTTTGGTGGTGGTGGTGGTAGGTGCCATCAAGTCAGCTGCGACTCATAGCAACCCTGTGTACAACAGAATGAAACACTGCCCAGTCCTGTGCCAACTTCACAATCCTTGCTATAGATTGCAGCCACTGTGTCAGTCCATCTCGTTGAGGGCCTTCCCCTTTTGACCCTCAACTTTACCACGCATGGCATCCTTCTCCAGGGAGTGGTTCCTTCTGACAACATGACCAAAGTAGGTAAGATGAAGTCTGGCCATTCTTGCTTCCAAGGAGCATTCCGGCTCTACTTCTTCCAAGACAGATGTTAGTTTTTCTGGCAGTCCATGATACTTTCAGTATTCTTCGCCAAGTTTTGGTGGTGGTGGTGGTGTTGTTGTTGTTATGTGCCGTCGAGTC